AATCAAGCTCATCCAATACATACTCATCCAGTTTAGCCAATAAATAAAAGTGCTTGATGTGGCCGGTACCTGATCTTTCAACATGTGTGTGTTGGCAGGATTCTGCTTTGTATCTATGACCATTACGTGCAAAGCCTCAGCAGACTCTAAAAAAATCACAAAATGGGATTAAATGGGCCAAATAAAACACTTGCTAACCAAGGAAAAATAAATCTGCTGGTGCACGCAAGCACATACACGGGCAAGTAATACAAGAGGTAGCAAACTGAAGTGGCAACTGCGCATAATCCAGACCATCAAACGCACAGAATTTGATCACGAACTTAATGCAAATACAGAAAAATTCACAACTTTCCTATCCTGAGTAACCTGAAGATACGTCTAAATGTGGCAGTTCATAAGCTATGAAGCACAACCATTTAGTTTCTCTATCTTATCTTGATGACTCATCAAAAGCTATCACCATAAGCAAAAACTCAGGAACATCAAAAAGAAAAAGGCAATAAATGCATTTTGCTGCCAACGTTGAAGGAAGGAATCCACCTCGATTATAATCAATTCATTCACGTTACAATTTCTCGTAGAACACGAAACCAATGAAAGAACCAAGTCCTAGAAATCCATTGATGCTTAAAAATCAGACTTCCCAGATGAAGAAAAGAAAAATAAGACACACACTAAAAATGTAAACTCCATCGGATATCTCCACACGTAAAGTTTCCGAAATCCACTAGAAAATATAAAGCAGGTTTGGAATTTTGTTCACACACCAGGGGAGTTTAAGCGATCAGAAGCTTGCTGAGCGGTTGCCATCAAAATCAATGTATGTATGTCTCAATGATCGGCTCAGGGAAACCAAAACTTGAGCAAAAACGTATATTATATTGGTAGTAATATGGGAATTCTGGATAGGGAGAGCGGTGAATTTAGATAAAAAAGAGGGAAAAAGTGGGTTTAGGATTTAGGGTATACCAGAGGACGAAAATGGGAAATTAGATGAAGGCTCTGTTTGGGTAATGGCATTGGGAGTGATAATATGGGTCGCTCTACTCGCAAGTAGAAATATCTTACAAGCACACAGTGTCATTGACAGGGGAGGAGATTAAACGTTCTCGTGCTTTTTATTTAATTATAATTTTATTTAATTAATCTCTTCAGTACGTTTGCCTGTGAGTGGTTATTAAAATACATAATTAGTATAATTATTTTAAAAATATTTAATTTTAAATTTTAAATTCATTATCTCAAAACGAATGAAAACAAAATTAGTACATACTGTATTTATTGAATATAAATAATTTATGCTCATTAAATAAATTATATATTAAAAAATATACTGAAATATAAACTAAAAATTATTTTAAATTTATATTTTATAATTATTTAAAATTTAAAATATCATATGCGTGTATTATTAGGAGATTGATAAAAAATAAATAAATAAATAATTATAATGCTTAACGTGTATGATATATATTATCAAAAATCAATATCGACATATAAAATTAATCTTATTATTTTAATTATTTAAAAATAAAATTTTTACAATAAAAATAAATGCAAACGACTTTTAAAACATAATATATTTATATATAATTTTTACCATGTCATAAATATATTAAAATAGAAGTTTAACTATATATGAAATTTATATTTATACTTACTACAAATTTTATAATTGAATATTGTTAGAGATTATATATATTAATTTATTATAAATACAAATATATGTTATTTCATATAAATAAATAAGGAAATGGTATAAACTAAAACATTAGTTAATGCTCAAATATATTTTTGGTCCTCAAACTATTTTTTTTTTTTTTCAATTTGATACATACATGCATGCACTCACACACACATATATATATAATAGATACATATATGTAAATTAGACTCTTTATATTAATACATTTTTTTATTAATTATTAATTTAATACAAGAATGTATATTAACTATTGCACATTAAAAGCACATTAGTATATTTTTATACAAATATACGCATGCATATTAACTATTTTTTAAAATTAATTTAATATATATGTATATGCATCCTCCTCCATAAGTTTATACGTTTATGCCGCTCAAACTATGTATGCATCACATACGCACACATACAAATACGTGTATATCTATTTAGTAAGTATATGTAAAAAATGTAAAACAATTATATTCTATTTTTTATTATTAACATTAGTATTATTTTTTAATATTTCTTATTAGTATAATAGAGTAGACAAACATTATGTTTATTTTATAATTTTTTTTTTTCAAACAAGTTAGTAATTTATATCTGATATTTCCATCTAAACTTAAATAATATTAGATGTTTAAAATAAATTTAAAAATTCAAAAACTAATTTGTGGGATGTAATTTTTTTTTTACTTAAAAAGATAAAGAGTAAGACTCAAGATATACAGTTCAGATTGCTATTATGTCCACTAAAAGAGAGATTACTCTAATCCTACATCATAGACCGTCAGATTCGTGGGCTCCACACGTGTCACAAGATCAGCGATGCCGTGATAAGCGGTACTATGAAAACGGCAGCACACGAAACATTCCCCGTCTGAGACCAATCCCATTTATCGACCATTTCCTTTTCTTCCATCACGGCCATTTATAAGACTTCTAGTTTTTAGCTATAGGGCAAGGCCGAACCCCAACGCTCTCTCTCTCTCTCGATTCGAAAAGAAGCCCGTTACCGCACTGTCTATCGCCGCCGCTATGTCTCAGGTGGGTACCTTTCTTCTAATCATTTCGATTTTCTGTTATTTTTTCTAATTCAAAAGAAAATTTGGGAGCCTGGTTTTTTATTGATAACGGATATAATGGTTTTTTTCGTTGTGAAGATCGGTAATCTTGATTGAGTTATCGGGAACATTTAGTTGTTTAGTTATCAATTGCTCAGTTCTGCTATTTAGGGTTGCTGTACACGGTGTTTGCAAATTCAATCCAGGTTAATGGTTTCTATGGGATTAGAGCGCTTTTGGTTCCGCTGGATTAGGATTCGTCTCTTTTTTCAAATGTTTTTTTGGATACTTCGGATAGTTTTGAATAACTTGTTGCTTTTATGTATAGGTGGATAACAGAAATTCCTCCGCGGCCAAGCGTGCTAGAACTGATGGTATGCTCTTTGTAATTGCACTCTTAGTATATTATTGGATTTGTGAATTTCTTCTCTTTGGACAGGCAAAACCCAGATAGAGGAATATCCTTTTGTCATTGATCTTATTTATGGTATATGGTGTGTGAAGATGTTATCTCTTTATTCCCTACCTACTAAAGGGGAAGAAGGATTATAGAGGGAGCCAAAATAACACGAGTGAAGGATGATGTTTACTTTTAATTAGTAGCTAATTTTTGGAGTTTGGTATGGTTAACTGTTTAGATTGATATGCTGATTTGTGTGTCATTATTTGTAGGTAGTAGAAGAGAAGATGATTGGACATGTCCTAGTTGTGGCAATGTCAATTTTTCATTTAGGACAACTTGTAATATGCGCAATTGTACTCAACCCAGGCCAGCAGATCATAATTCAGTAAGTCAACCATACTAACTATATACGAATCAAGGTGTGAGTTTGGAAACTAAAATGATGTAGGAAAAAATTAGTGTTAATTGTCTGCTCAGGGACACCTAGGGTTCTTAGCTATTACACCCTAGAAATTCGTAAGCATTACTTGATTACATCACACGGTCCTAAGTATTTGGACAATTCTCAAAAGGGAGGTCACGAAATATTTATAGTGCTTCAATTTATATCCTAATCTAATTATAATTAAAGAATCATTATAGGAAGCAAAAGATATTTAAAACATATCCAATTATAATTAAGGAATCCTAATAGGAATAGAGGTATTTAAAACATAGATAAAATCCTAATCTAGCTGAGAATATAATAACATAAATAAATAATAAAACTATTCTTCCATATACTGCTAAAATTTTTACTACCAACATTCTTTATCAATTCTCGCTGGTTGAGAAAAACTTGACCTGTCAGGTTGAAGGCATAGGACTTCTTGTGAAGGCTGAGATATTGGGAATATGCTGCCTTAGGTTGTTTAAATTGAAATGCACTGTGTTCCTCTCTTGAAATGAGTATAACCATATCTGCTTGTCCTTATAGTTCCTGTTTCGCTATAATTTGTAGCCACTTTCTCCTTTCATTAACAATGTCTTGATGTTAATGGGGATTCCTTCTTTTCATACCTTTTCCATTTCTTTGCATATTGATTTATATCACTTTTAAAGCCTGGGGCAGCCAAGAAAAATATGGATTACGTACATGTGTCGACATGGCATAAGAGATTCATTGTAGACATCACAGTGAGAAGAAACAAGATGTTCTTTTGCTATTGAGATGACTATGCCATATATATATATTACCTGGTAAGGTTGCGAATGTGGTGTTTGTTGGAAGATTGAGAAGTTCCATTGTTGATGTTGAAATCCAAATTCATAACGCTTTCATGATTGATAACAAGTTTGTTAGCTTGATTCCATAATAAAAAAATTCTGAAAAATGGTAGTACGGGGCCAATCATCTTTCTCCACTTTAAAAGCTGTT